AAAAAATGACTATAAAGATGGCCTTGAATTTAAATAAGTTGAAATATTCCTTGACAAAAGAAACTGCCAAACCCTTAAAAATGTGTGAATTTAACAATGGTCACACTTTCTGTACAAAAACCGACTCAATAATCTTGAGAATAGACTCATCGAAATCTCATTAAAATTCCTCAAACATGGCTGACATCATGTGCCAAAATGTCGATGTAATTGACAAAACAAAGTTCCAAACCCCCCAATGAAGTCACTGTTGACTTTCTGTATACTACCAAATAATCATGAGAAGTGTGTAAATAACTACGTACAGTAATCTTACCTTAAGACTTGAGTGAATGTTGTGGTAAAGAGTGGGTTGGCAGCACTTGAAGCAAGTCAAGGATGTGGCCTCTCGAACAAAAGGACCCACGCATCATGCGTCTCATATTTTTGCCTGTCACATGTCGAGCAGAATTAGGACTCAGAAAATGACATGACACTGAAATTGAAAAGTAAAAGTCAATCTATGAAAATACAAAGTAGCTACAGAGAGCAGGGCTGGATGCAGAACACACGGAAGAGAGCTGACACTCTTGTCGAAAGCTCGACGTACTGATAAGCTGTCGCTGAGTAATCCAAGTTTATATGCCGTGAGACATCAAGCCTATATGACAGAATTAAAAACACATAATCATGATTATACTTAACCAAGCTGATCGTGTATGGGGGTGTCAGTGCTAAAACAAAAACATATCGATTTCTCTCTCACATGTATTGACAGGGTTAACCACTTCTTACTTCACACACATAAAACATATCGATGAGATTCACAGTTCATGGGCAAACTCTGAAACATATGACAAGAAAAGCTGTTTCTGGATGCATGCATTGGCAAAAACGGTGATCAATTCACAGAATCCTACTAAATTTTAGAGGGAAGATGGTCCATCTAATTTACTTCATCAAATGAAAATTACACCCAAAAATATAATTGACTGCAATGCTCTTTGCCAAATCTTAATGCATATAAAAAAAAGACAAAACTTGAATGAAATTAAATTGTTGTAATGAACAAATTTTTGGTTTATATTTGACTTAATTCCCATCTGATGAATAATGACAAATCCATAATGTGTTATTGCTGTAATGATTCATTTTCAAAATGCCCATTTCCCGACTATTACAGTTCATTACTTTTTGCATTGGAAATCCCATAAAATGATTGTGAAAATAAACTAAATAACCTCATAAACGTGTCTTGTGCTAAACTGATAACATGCATAAGACAGTGTCATAGTCATTCTGTGTGCCGCCTTCAATTTGCATGCAAATACTGCCTTGTTGATCAAATGCGCATCACAATTGCAGATTTTTTTTTTTGCAAAGGTCAAATAACTCCATCACCTTTCTGATTGCCTTCCAGCATAACAATTATCCAGAAAATGAGGTTCAATCTGTTTCCAAGCAACAGCAGCACTGCATATTTGACTCCCTTACCCTGTTTGTTTTTTTTTTCCCCCTCTTGTTTTTTTTTTTCCTCCATTTGAAGCATGGGTGAGATCATGTGACTGGCCCCGACCGCCGAGCTGGCTTTCGAAGTGCCACCTTAATGAATTAAGCCCTGTGCTTGTGTTTGATTGTGCGTGGTGAGTCTAGACGCAGTGCTGCGGATCACAGAGCTCATTAAACTATTAAGAGGATAAAGGCAGCATTAATCACACTGGAGCACACAAACTGAAACAAGCTTCCCGCCTCCACAGTGATGACACTTATCACTCAGTTCAGACCTCTTTTTTTCTTTTTTTTTTTCTCTCCCCCCCACCAAAAAAAGTGGTTTTAGTTTGACACTACTGCACGACAAACCCACCGGTAACATCAAGAAGGAAAGAATTCCTCCGCACGTCATTCACACTGACGTGTCAAAAAGAACCGTGGAGCGCAGCACGAGTCTGCATTTTTTTTTTTCTCTCCCCCCCACCAAAAAAAGTGGTTTTAGTTTGACACTACTGCACGACAAACCCACCGGTAACATCAAGAAGGAAAGAATTCCTCCGCACGTCATTCACACTGACGTGTCAAAAAGAACCGTGGAGCGCAGCGCGAGTCTCCAAAGAGAAGCAGCAGAGTTTTCAGGACGGACGAGTTGCAGGGCGACAATGGAAGGACACCAAAAAATTCAACAAAGTGATGGTTTTGGGCCTTTCGCACATCGGGTAAGACACACTGCAGCCTCCATGGGTATTACAAATGGAAGGTTCTGACTGATGTGTCTCACTTGGTTCTTTTGAAACCCACAAAGGTCAAAACTCCCTCAGGGACCGG